ATCAACAAATGTTAGCAGTGTCGTTAAACACTATTAAATAATGTATGAGGTAATACTTTAATTAACCATGAAAACATTAGTACATGATTAATAAATGTCTTCTAATGAAACTGCTAAGCTGCGAACTTCATGAAATAAATGTTAATATCTTTATTGACAATTGACTAGTGTTAGTTACCAAGAGACATTTAAATTATTGAATGCAATGCTTATTATTATATTATTTAACATTTAGTTAATGCTTATTACTGCATCAACAAATGTTAGCAGTGTCGTTAAAACTATTAAATAATGTATGAGCTAATACTTTAACATGAAAACATTAGTACATGATTAATAAATGCATTAGTTACCTATTAGTTAATGCTTATTACTGAATTAAGTATGGTTAATTAATGTACCCTTATTGTAAAGTGTTAGCAGAAAATTAATATCAATTAATATGAAAATAATTGATAATAAATGGTAAACACAACAAACGTAAATAAAATAATATTTAATACGTATAATTTTATTATTAGTGTAATATTCTTAATAAAAATAATACGTCACATTTAGAATAAAATTAATTGCATGTAAATATGAAGACAAGCCCCAGTTTTATAGTTACATATTATATTCATGAAGTTAGCCTCAGGTCAGCTATGGTTTCTTTCAAAGCCTCAAAAGGTTTAAAAAAACCCACATCAGGCTGGCGCTACAGGGCGCTTCGCTCACGCACAGACAGACTGAGGCTGTCATCCCTAAAATACTGACTGATGGCAGGGACTTGGGTTCTCTTTAATTTTCTCTGTTGTAAATATATTTACTGACTCTACTGTATGAGATGTAGTCTATTTTGTCTAATTTTACGTGCACTTTATTTTGTACATGTTGTATTTATCTTATTTCACACAGGCAGAAAGAGACAGTCAGATGTAGCGCCCCAGCAGTTTGCCCTGCTCCCACTCTTTGTGTTAAGCTAGGCTTAGTAGAGCTCAAACTGGTCTGTGTTTCCTCCTGTGAGTCTGGTGAGACGGTGCACAGTGCAGCACCTACTGCGTCACAGACCTCTTCTTTACAACGCATTCAGAGTTAAGAAATCTATACCAGTTTTGCAGACCTCGTCAGCACCGTGTTGGTCATGATTTCGCTGTCTCGGAGAGAGATGGACATCAGCCACAGTGCTACAGTTTCACTCTTAAGTTTGACAGAAAATGCAGAAAATTTGCAGCCCACGCTGGGGGTAGGTAAGTTTCAATGTGCTCGCAAGTGAAGAGCTGTGAGCCAACCTGTCACTTCCAGCATGGACACATGAACTGGGCTGTCGAACCCTGAAGCCGCGGCATCCTCCTGCTGAGTGGCCTGTGGTGGTTGTGTCTAGAGCGCTGAGACCCGGACGATGTTGGCCTGGGAGTAGTCAGTGGAGCTGGCTGAGTTGTCGCCTTCTGGCGTGGTGCCAGGCGGCGTGGGCATGCTGATGATGGCGGCAGTGATGTAGGGCTGGTCACAGTTTAGAGGAACAGTCTCCTCGAATCTGGCATTCAGACTGGACCGACTGCAGAGAGAGATGACACAGGAATGTTTAGACCCATGAAAAAACTTGTCTAAGAGTCAGTGCAATTGTATCTTTGACAGTGTACCGTAAAAAGATGTCAATCCCTCAGAAACTGCAGGACCCAAACCAAACCAGGCTCAGAAAACTGAACCCGAGGGTCTTGAACGTGATTCTTACCATGTCAGAGTCGAGGTGAATGTCATCACTGTTACTCTTTGCCATGTGTGGTGTAGTTAGATTTCCCTGAAGCATCAGTGACACACAGTCACTCAGAGAGGCCCCAGTTCAAACCTCATGTTGGCCATCACACCACACACATCAGCACAGGATAACACCACAATGCTTGTTTAAACCAAGTCTTGTCTCAGAAAGATGTTACAGCAAATGAAAGATGGGCATCCATGTGAAATTCCCTACTGATGCGTGAATCACAGAATTTGATTTATAGTTCAGGGCCAGATTTCTGATACTGATCCCTCTGCCACAACCCTGGACAGATGTGCTATCCTTAATATGGATGTTACATCCTGTCACTGACATCAGCGATCGTGGTAGGATGCTGTTGGTTTTCTTTCTGAACAGGAAACTATGTCAGCAGTGCTGACATCGACTGGTCCACTTTTAGAGCAGTTAGTGTAAAGCAGAGGATGACATCCTTCTTGTTGCCTTTACTCTCAACTAGAGCTGAAATGATCCTCTGCAGCAGTTTTAATCAACTGGTTCTGCCTCTCAAATGTGTGGATTTGATTTATTTCTTTGCTGTATATGAGTGTGACGTGAGTATCTTTGGGTTTTGGACTGCTGGTTGGAGAAAATATGTTTAAAGATATCACCATTCTGGGATACACAGGCATTTTCACTGTTTTGTAGACAAAACTACTAACCAGTTAATTTAAAAAGTAACTTGCTAATTGTTAATGAATAGGAGGAGGTACACAAGAGCTATTGTCAGGTTTGCCCGGCTGCACCTTCCTCTCTTCTCTCTTTCTCGCTCTAGTCTGCTCCTTCTCACTGACTCTCTTGATTAACACACCTGTCCTGATTTTCTGACACTCTTCAGCTGCGCCTCCTTTGTCACTCCCTATTTATACCCAGCTTTACCTTCACTCCCTTGCTGGTTCTTTCTATGTCGTTAGCCTTCTTTGCATTACGTATTATACTATTTTTTCTCCTGTTTTCACATATGTTAGTTCTAGCGTCTCCTGTTGTTTTACCTGGACCTCTCCTCTGGACCTTGGCTTCCTCAGCTCCACCAACCTCTTCCACAGGTCGATGCACAGTCTCATCATTCAATCCACTCTCTGTTACTCCTCAGTCTACCGGATCACCACCTTGACCAGCTCAGGAGTGTCGCCTTCCCTTGCAGCCCAACCTCATCACTCCACGGACAATAACCCCTTCACTAATGCTGGTCATCACCCGGTGATATTCATTTCAGTCATTCACGCTTGTTTGTTGTATATATTGTTGCACCCCTGTTTCACTATTGTAAATAAATCCACCTATTGCACCGAAGCCAACCGCCTGGGTCTGTTCTTTACTGCTCGCTCACAATTGTGTCGAGCGATCCTAACAGCTATGGCTTAGCCAAGTGTAACTCCAGTTTTATTCTATAAAGTTACTCTTGAACACTGTGCAGTTACCACCACATTTACATGTAGAAGTCCTGCACAAACTGGTGCCATTGAGCCGACAGGTGGCAGTGCAGCAGTGTGAGAGATGTAGAAAAGCAGCATGACAGATGCAAACCTCCTGTTATTAGATTCTAGACTTTGTAGTAAATCCATGTCCCTGTTTTCAGTGGCTGTTGGCCAGTGAGTCACTGGTGAACAGCTTTATGGACTGTTCCTTTTCATGTGTAGCCATTATCTATGCACAGCCATTGAGTCAGTGACTGTTAAAATGTTGTGAGAGTGAAGCTGCAGGGTGCAGAGCAGCATCAGCACTGATGGTTACTGACAAGTCAGACAGAAAGAGGAGGAGGCTACCAGACAGAGGAGCCGCTTCCCGGCTGTCCCTGTTTAGGCGGGCATTCCCAGACCTCCCACAGCTGGACATATTCTGGATTCCTACTCCCTGACTCTCCATGGGAAGACACTGTCACATGGTCTCTGTGTTTACATTCAGCATGCCTGTGTGTGCGTCTGTTTTCATTCAGTGCATGTAGATGAAATGTCCCATTATGTCAGTTCTTCTATAGAAACATAGCTTTTCCAGCCTCATCACAGATTACAGTCATATGCAACTACTGAGCGTAGCTGTTATATTTTGCTTTATATCATGCCCTGAAAATTTCCTACTGGTGTCGGGTGTTAAATTGTTTGTGTTCACTTCAGTCATAAATCAGGTCAGCGGTTTAAGCAACAGGACTGATGCTTGATACTGCCTTCCCACATAATTATGCCAGAAATCCTGGAAACTCCTCAAGGACTTTTGGTATCTCCTTGGACACACCTGGAACCTTCTGGAGGACCCAGGGACCCACTTAAGGATCATTATAACCTTCTCAGCTGCCTCTAATATCTCCTCTTAAGGAACTCTAAAACCTCCTCAAACATCTTTGGAACCTTCTCAAAGACACTTCCAAACTCATCCCTGGTAAGATTTGACCTCTGTACTGACCTGGAAAACTCTTCAAAGACCTCTACAGCCTTCACATGGAGCTCCTCCAGTGAAGCTGATAAAATACGACCTCACTATAAAGAAATGATGACAAAGCCATGAAACTGAGCCAGAGTCAGAGTCCTGCTCAGACTTGTGGAAGAACCCTGGGTGCACACGATCCCCCACCTGTTGGCGATCGGCCTCTCCCTTATCTGGATGGTGCTGAGCTCCTGGATGCCGCCCTGCAGACCCACAGACATGTTGGAGTTTGAGACGTTGAAGGTCTTCCTCTTCTTGCGGGTGCAGCAGGAGGTGAGGCTGCGAGGTGAGGAGGAGGTGGAGGAAGAGCGAGACACCTGCTTGACCAGAGTCATCTCCCTGCAGCTCGCCTCATATGTCTTCTCATCCACAAACTCGTGGTTCTGAGGAACACAGTTGGGATGTTACAGGCTGGCATTTCATTAATATACATTTTTCTTTAAGAATCAAAACTGTGTGGCTTTGATGACTTCTAGTGGAGAAACCTGTGGAAACGTGGATCAAATATGAGCAGAAAGAAAAATTCTCACAAATACACAGAAATACTCAAATTAAGTGAAAATAGAAATGAGAAATAAAAATATCAGGTGGGTGACCATCTGGTTTCATGTCAACAGAAAGAACTGAACCACCTCAAAACTCAACTCGGAAGTATTACATACAAAAAACACAATTCCTAATCCAACAACTCAAATAGGAACAGTTTCAATATAGTAAGAAAATAGGTAAATACTTGATAAATCAACTACAACATAAAAAAGAAAAGGCGATCATCACATCCATACTTGATTCTACAGGTGAAACTGTATTTCAAGCCTTTTATAGCAAATTATACTCTTCTGATCACCAACCAAATCTATCTGAAATAGATATTTTCTTAAACAATATAAAATTACCAACACTATCCAGAGAACAAACGATACCCTAGATGCCCCCATCATTTTGGATGAACTCCATAAAGCACTGAAATCCATGTCAAATAATAAATCACCTGGACCTGACGGATTCCCTGCTGAATTTTATAAACATTTCTGGCAGATTTTATCACCGCTATTTCTCAGAGTTACCACAGAAATTAAAACCACCTCTACAGTACCGACACATATGAATACGGCTGGCCTGAAACTCCTGCTGGAAACCCATAAAACACACTTTGGATAACAGCCGTAAACTATTTAACCTAATCAATCTTAAACAACAAAAACAAACCGACACCATAATTGTATCATTAGATGCAGAAAAAGCATCCGACAAAGTTAACTGGTCATTTCTCTTCAGCACACTACAAAGGTTTGTCCCAACAATCAACTATTAACATAAACTGTGATGAACAGTAAAACAAAGGGAAGGTTTAATGTGACCATAACACAAGGCGCTGCTGTCCTGCTGCCCTGAACGACCTCACCCTGCTGGGCCCTCCAGGTGGTGGCCTCGCCTGGTGCTGGTGGTTCGGGGCGGAGGCATCACCAGCACACTCCTGGTCCTTTATTTATTTAACACACCCCACCCCCCCTTACATTTACCTCCCCATGAATTTTATTTCTCTTTAATAAGTACTGATTATCAGTCTGCATAGAGTTGGATACACTGACACTACACACTTTGACACACAAACTAAATTTAATCATCCATTTATCTCTTTTGTTAATGTCTGTTGCCTCATCTTCTATGTTGTCCTTTGTCCTGTAAATGTGTTATTTCATGTTGAAATTTAAAAAAAGAAAGAGATCTAATCAAACGTGACAAAGAGCAAACAAAAATCCTCCAAAGCCCTTTCTTAAACCTCCCAGTAAATAAAAAAATAGGGTGTAAAAAACAGATTTCTTTTAAATGACAGCAGAAAGGAGGTCTAATAAAACAGGATAACAACAAAGAAGTCACCCCTCTTCAAACAGATGTCAGTCATTAGCATCTGAGCTCAGCCTGCTGTTTGTAGTTCAGTGTCATTCAGTAATGTTCAAGTAGCTCTGAATTTACAGCTAGTGGTTCTGTAATGTGTTACCTATCTCTGGATGTCTTATACCGCAGGACGTCTGTGCGTGTGTGTGCTCACCGTGGTCTTCTCCAGGCAGTGCAGGAGGTGATGATGCAGCACCTCAAAGGTGGGGCCTGTCTTCCTACACAACAGTGCTTGCCCTGCCTTCTTGGACACCTTCAGGGCACAAACAGAAATCACATGACCACCGAGTGAGCCCACTATTGGCCATTCTCTTGCCCCTCAGTACAAAGAGGGGCCAAAACATCATGACACAGCTGGACGGGGCCAACGTTCTCACCACCTTAGCTATAAGAACATTCACATCTGCCTAGTTTTTACCCACAATCCTCTCATTGTAGAGAGTTTGTCAGAAAGTGACATACTGCTCAGTAGTTCAAACTCAAGCTACCACACTAATGTTGTTCAGGGGTTCCGACTGAATGTGACACAGGTGAATGGACAGAGCTGGGATACTACTACTAAGTATGCTTGTTAACTGCCTTCTAACGTCTCTTCTAAACACCAGGGAGCTCACCAAGCTCACTGAGCCTCTTTACTGGGGACTCTGAGTCAGAAAGCTCACCGCTGGGGCCAAGACTTTACTCCTGAGAACTCTAGGCTCTAGAAGTGCTTTGGTCAACCAGGTGTTGTTGTTCTGCCTGGGACACTACACAAAGAGACACACCTCCCAACAGAGGACCCTAAAAGAAGGCACACACCTCATTCCCAAGGTCCTTAAAGTAAGTCATGGACCTCGATCCTGAGGACCACCTGAACCATAAAGGAAGTCTTGAACCTCACAAACTCCAGAGACAAGAATCATCAGTAATCTTTCTCCTGTTTGTAGGAACTCTAGAGGTGGCAATGCATCTTACTTCTGGGGACTCTATGCTCTTTCTGTTAGCCTGGCTTAGCACTAAGTCTAAATATGTCACTGAGCTATCTACACTCATCTGACTCTGGGTGACACCTCAAACAAGCTTTTTCTCAAAATTTCCGGTTCCTAACAAGGTCAGTTTGTCAAGTGCCGGCGCACCCCACCATCACCTCTGTGTCACGCTGACTCTGCTGCCCTGCATGCTGTGGGGCTGGTTGGTTAACATGCTACTCAAGTCAAGCTCACTGATGAATTCCAAGAAATGTGTCGCTATGAGCAGTGCAGGCCAGTCAGTCGGCAGCTGAGCCACATGGGACGGCTAATCAAAACACATGAGTCTAGCCAAGGTGAAGGTGGAGGGTGGTTGTGGACGAAGCTGTTGTTTCCCTGTTGGTGGGTGGAGACCCTCAGAACCTGAGGACCAGGTCATGCACATGTGGGTTAGTGGGATGAAGTAATGGATAAATTAGTTCTGTTATACATGTGCAAACAAAAGGAAGAAAGTGTGTCAGCAGTGCAGCCACAGAACAAGAGTGGCGCTGGGAAGAGATAGAGGATTCAACAGTAACAAGTTTCCTGTTGAATCAGCAACGTGCAACAGTGTTTTAGATCCCACCTGTCACTGGGGTCCATGAGCCTTTCAGCACCTAGTTCAATTAATGTCAAGCATTTGTGATAAAATATGAAAATGACGGTTTCTTTGTTTTGTTTGACTCGTACAGTAGAAGTCAAATATCAGCTCCAGTAGTTTTGTGATCAGTTGGGTCCAGTGTAAAAACATTCCTGTTGAACCAGACAGACACTGTAGAACAGCAGAGAGAGCAACATGAAGGCGTGATGAAGGAAATCCTCCCTGAATGAGGATAACCCACCCCACATGCAGCAGCCTGCAGCAAGTTAGCTCACGGCTCAACAAGGACAAACGAAACATGAAGGCGAAATCAAAAAGTTAACACCAGCACCAGCCGATGACGGCGACGACTGCATTTGCGCATTTACCTCATCGGGGTCAATCAGCAGCTGGCTGCGTTTGTACCGTAAATAAGCATTAGCCCCTCCGTTCTTCACCACACGGATTCTAGCAAGCCTGGTTTTCTGTTTGTGGACACACACAAATGCACATTAAGCTGGTTTCTCTGTGTTTGTGCAGTGACAAGCTGAGTGTAGCAGCAGAAAGGGAACCTGAGGTGACCTGAGACACTCAGAGCCTGATGAAAGAACTACATCTCTGTGGCCACTGAAGAGGTTATGTTGTGAGAAAGAGTTGTTTTCTTCAAAGACTTTTGTCCTTTCAGAAGAAGCCCTCTGCTTGTAATGATGCTTCCGAGACAACTTTGTTACTGGGGCTGATTTGGGATCAGTTACTGGACAAATCATACCCCTGAAGTCCTGAACATTTTCATTGTTAAACTCCTCTGCAAAGATCATAAGCTGTGCAAACAGGATGACAGCAACAATGACAGAAATGTTTGTAGCAAACAACATAATGACGTATGTGAACAAGATGATTTTTATGCATAAGATAATGATTTTTGTGAACAAGATGGTAACAGTAACCTGTGCAAAGCGCATAATATCTTGTGTGAACAAAGTTATCACGTGCAAACAAAACCCGTCTGCATTATAAAGAAATGTGAGACATGTACTAACAAGACAATCATTTGTGCACAAGACTGAAATCAGTGTCTCAGGGCTTGGGGACCTCAAAACAAAACAACAACAAAAGCCTCAGCCAACACAAGCAGAGAACTCGTGTGAATGCTGGGAGGAGGTAAAGCCAGTGTCCTCCTCTCTCTGTGGTCCTGTCTTGTCTCAGGTGGCTTATGCAGGAGCTACGATGTTTACATTAAGACTAAGTTGCTGCCTCGCTTCTCTTTACTGCTTCAGGAAAATGTTTGTAGTGAGATCTGCTGCAGTAAACACACTGACCCTATTAATATTTCACACAGACAGAGGTTTAACAGGCTCCCTGTGCACTTACAGCCTGTCAGCTGACAGCATGCAGAGGACCTCATGCTGTCAGGTCAACCCAGACACCCTGAACACACAGCCCGATTCCTGTCATGACACTGTCTTCCACTGTCTCTACAACAGGAAAAAGCTGTAAACACACTTCATGCGCACACATTTAAGAAAGTTTGTTATTTTGCCCCTGACTTCCCTCCCAGCTCATAGCTGGTGATATGAAAGTCAGATATGAACACAGACATCAGTGGTGAGTGTGCAGGAGGTTCAGGGGTCGGACCACAGTCGTCACCTTCTGTGCACGTCTCTTCTCAGCTCTCTGGCTCTGGTGGTAGATGCGGCTGAAGTTGGAGACGATGACGGGGACAGGCAGGGCAATGACCAGCACGCCACTCAGAGAGCAGATTGAGCCAAAGATCTTCCCCATGATGGTCCTCGGTACCATGTCGCCATATCTGAGACAGGAGGGAGGAGAGCAAAGCAAGAGGTGAGGTGTGATGTCAGGTATACAGCATCTAAAGCTGAGAACACACAGGCAGCACAGGACAGCCTGTGGCAAACTGAAAGGTTTCTGTCTCATCAAAACCACCAGAAACAAACAAACCCAAATGCATTAAACACATCTTTAGCATGGTGTTGACTGAATACAATAAAAATTTGAAAAATGTATAAAAACTACAAGTCACATGACTCAGAGAACCTGCATATAAAGGACATCAGCTTTTCAGTTTTGTTTATATTTAGGGAGGAAAACAATCACTTTTAATGACAGCATCTGATATTTTAATCTGTGAAACTATGGAGACTTAACACATTAGAGTCTGACTACACAAAGAACAGAAGTTTGATCTGTTTTCCTGATGAGGTGTACACTCAAAACATCCACCCAAATCTACAACCACTTCTGAAGATGAACTGCACACAGACATATTTATTTATGAATGCTGTTGCTGTTGCTGACAGACACTTGATGTGTAAACTAAATGCACAATCATTAGAAAAAGGAGCTGAGGTGGCATTTTTCCTCCTGTGGGTGTTTCTCTGAACAAAGCTGCAGTTCAGTTGGCAGCCACATGGAGGAGCCAGAGATCTGCTGCTGCTGCTGTTCTCCTTCCCCACTTGTTTTCTGCTCACCAAAACACATTCCTGGGGTTCAAACACATTTAGGAAGCCTCTGCAGACAATGAGCTTGACTGCTGACTGCTTCTCCTCTCCGGCATACTTGTCTTCTCTGTGCAAACACATTTCATTCACTGTTATTGGACAGGCAGATACTCTGTCCGCTCGCCCCTGTGTTCCCAGAATTCCCAGCATGCTCAGCATTCAGGTGTTTAATCCAAGTTCATTTCTGAGCATGTCTGTCTTCATCAGGTCCAACAAGAACCTGTTGGAGAAGCTGCAGAACACAGCTGGTTGTTTACTTGCTTTTCAACAAATGTTTGTCCCTGTGTTGTTACAACCTGACTCTAGATTATTCTGGTTGCAGTTCCTGTCAAGTACAAACACCATTTATTCATAGATGTAGTGACGGGTTCCAGTAATGGTGCAAGTTGAGAACCAGGTTCCTGTCCCCAGATGCAGCTTTCGGTTTGAGCCTGGCACAGCAACACACTGCACCATGTGCACATTACAGGTCATTTTAAGCTATTTTTCTTTCACCAGCAAATCACATTTACTATTACAGCAACACAAAAAAACCTAATCTCACGCAACAGATGAGATAAAAGTGTAAATTAATCAGTAAATGGTTTTAATTGGTTTGAAAAATATGTATGCACTGGCCTGTATTTTCATGGAGATAAAGTCATTTATGCACAGCCTTCAGCCACGATTCAGTGACGTTTACAGGAGAAGTTGTTAAGTGTTAAAATCAAGTGTGTAAAATCAGGTGGAAGTATTCCCAGACAGCTGCAGGAAGTGTTCTTCACTGTGTAGACCAGATCATCTGGTCTCCTCCCACAAGCCTTCACACAGCCAATCAGAGGCAGTGACCTTGTTTCAGCATGTGTGCCACAGTCACACACTCACTCACACACATACACTCCGAGTCCAGGTGTGTGTGCCACTGTGTCATGTGACTGCATGTTATGATTTGTCCCCCTCACCAGGAGGATGAGGGAGAACTAAGGTTGGACTCAAGATGGCTGACCCAGGTGCTAGTACAAAAAAGGAGGTTTAATGGGAAAACACAAAGTAACACTAGGTAACATAATATAGTCCAAGTACTTATACAGTCCAGGATAGAGTGGAGATGGTTGAAGAGACCAGGATGAACAGGTGAGTGTAGTGGTTGAAAATAAACAAGGTTCCAGAGGTAATATGTAATAGAACAGTATGTAGTTCATATTTAGATATTATATGTAATAGTTGTGTAAGGATGTAAGGATGAGCTAAGTGTGTACGGAAGCTTGATCTGTTTCTTGCGCAGGCAAGAATATCTTGGGCTGTGTCCCCCTTGTTTAACCTATGGATCAACATCCCAAGGGAATGGATATACTGTAGCTGCAGCCTTATGTGAACTGTTTGTGTGCTCTGTTCAGGTTTAGAAAAAGGAAATGTGTGCTAGGTCAATGCGACCTAAAAGTTCATGTACTGGACAGCTTAGACAATGCTCGGAAGAAGGTGTGTGTGGGTAGCTGGCATGGGACCACGTCTTCATGGCTCAGGCCATGGAGGGCTGTGTGAGTGCGAGCAGATAAAAAGCTGGGTTAGAGCAGAAGAAGGGGGAGAAGAAGAGAGGATGACCATGCTACCGTGAAGGGTGTACCGTAGACCTGGCCCCAAAGGGCCGGGGAGACTGACAACTGAATGTGGGTTGACAAAGACTGACTCGTGACCAACAACAACTGATTGGACTGACGCTTTTGACAATCTTCTTATTTAATGCTTTATCTATCACATTGCAGGAGGAGAGTCCCTGTTCTCTGTTTCCCAAACTACATGATTATCTGTTTAAATACTACTCTATTCAGAATAATTGTAATATTAAATGATCCTTTAAATTGGGATGGTTTGTCTGAATTAATTTAGTCGGCATCACACTCTAGCCACGACAT